TCTACAATTTTCAGATGAGCTCATAAATTTCAACTCCTGTTCCCAGTTCATATCTGTCTCATCAGGTTCCCACTTGGCTGACAAACACATCCAAGCATCAGTTGCTGATAACAACCTGCTCCAAATGACTCTGAGTCCTGAAATTGCTGAAACCTGATGTGAATCAATTCAGCCGATGTGATGGCGGTCTTTTCGCTTCTCAATGAATCAGATGCTTCTAAGTTCCCTCACTGCCTTTGCCTAACATTCTAGCCTTCCAGGGCCCTGAGAACAACCTTCTAAGGTCAGCAGTAGGTAATTACAGAAGCGAAAACGTCGTCCCTGTTCCCCCCTGGAATGTTAGATCGAAAGGGAACTTCTCTGTTAGCAATCACAGGGATCTCGGTCATGGAAGCCTTGTGTAAATGATCACTCCTGTCTTGGTGCCATTAAACTAATGATGCTAAAATCCCAGTATCAGCCTCTGGAACAAACTCATCTCTAGGATTTGAGATGATGTCCCATGGGCAAGGAATTTTGAAAGGGCACAAGGGAGTCTTAAGACTCAATTAAAAATACAATTAAAAGGGGGGAGTTGGGGTTATACCCACAGTCTCCATATATATATATGTGTGTGTGTGTGTGTGTGTGTGTGTGTGTGTGTGTGTGTGTGTTTATCTTAAAATTTAAAATTTTTAAATGTGGATGTCTGTGAGCAATCTTCCATGAGTAGATTTTGGCATGAAAACACCACCTCATGATTTCCTCAAGTCTAATGGAAAGATCCATCTACTTGTTTACGAAAGGGTCCCAACAGTGTTTTGGTAAGGGGAGAGGGCATGCTTGTGTTTATTCTCAGGATGAAATTGAAGCTCAGTTGATACAGTGTGTGGAGCAGAGATACGCCGATCCTGATGCTGCTCATAATCCAGAAAAGCCAGAGGGAGACCGATTGGGCCTATGTTTCTGATCCAGCGGTTCTACATCCTGCTGTTTGGGACAGAAAGGAGATTGTAGTCACAATCAGTGTCATACATCTCTTATATCGATCTGCCACACAAGGCTTCCTGGTTTCTTGAAAATTTTCTCATGTTGTGTACAGTAAAGGAATTCCTGTATGTTTTGCTTTGGAGGGATGTCTTGGAGTGTTTCCAAAACTAATTATGGGACATGATAAACAAGGTACTTATTTTACAAAGTTATGGCTTCCTCAAGGTAATTGGGTAAATGATTTCCCTAAATGATTTCCCTTCACTCCCTAAATGATTTCCTTCATGCACTAAGGAACTAAGAGTCTAACAGAACTTTGCTGTGGAGATGATGTGCAGTATTATCCATTAAAGTACAACATCAGAGGGACATCGCAGTACGTTCTCAACTGGCCTGGGAATCAAGAAGATTATAGTGACTCTTATCCTTTGTCTACAGCAGAATCTTGGGACCCAGAACTGTGAGCTGGAATTTGGTACTCCGCTACAAAATTTTCACAGACTTGAAAACTTTGGAAACTTGCTGTATGAGAAATGTGGCAGGACAATCCAGTTCTTCGAAACCTGTTTGCCCTCTGATAGGAACTGTCTTGTGTGTGTGAAAATGTCTTTTGGTGGGAGAGATAAAAAATGTCCATGAATGGTGTTGTGTTTAATGTATCATGCCCTGATTGTATTTTGACTGATTGTATTTCTCAAGTGAATGATCATACCCGTGTACTGGTGCTAAAACAACCTTCTTCTGTAATGTTGCCAGTCCGTGTAAATGATTCATGGTTTGATCGCAAAGGGTTAGAGGCGATTGAACAAATTAAGAGAGCTTTAAGCAGACAGAGACATGTTGTTGGATTAGTTATGGAGGGAATGTCAGCTCTTGTTGCTGTGTTTGCTGTCACTGAAGCTGCCTCAGTGACTTTGTCTCAGTCTATTCAAAATGCGGAGTTTGTCAATTATCTAAGAACGTTTCTATAACATTAGAGACACAAGAAGACATAGATGTGAAAATGGAACATAAATTGAATGCCTTGTATGATGTGGTACAGTCATTGGGAGATGAGCGCCGAAGTCTAAAAACCAGAATCCAATGAATGGATTTGTGTTACATCTTCTATATATCATGAAAGTACTGTCAGATGGGAAAGAGTCAAAGCACATCTATAAGGAATCTGACGTGATTCTAATGAATCCTTAGGTTTGGCTAAATTACGTGAAGAGATCATAGAAATGAAAAGGCTAAATTAGATTTTGATACAGCAAAAACTGGAGCCATTTGAAAAGACTGTTCCATCGTGGTCAGCATTTGCTTCACTTCTCAGCAGCATTGCAGTTATCAGAGCTTGTGTTCCACTGGGCATAACTTGTCTACCTATAGAGTTCAAACTGATATTGAACTTGCTGTGGAAAGTGGGCTCATAACTTCTCGGAGTAAACTCCGCACACACTTCCCTAAACTTATGATACCAGAGGCTGCCAGCCAAAGACTGGTAAGTTTTCTTTGCCTCCTTTAGAGGTAAGCCAGGAACATGAATGAGGCAATTCTTGTTCCCATGATGGGTAAGATTGGAGTGTAATAAGGAACGCCTAAACAAATGTGGCCCTCTGAGGAACTCTGAGGGGGGTCCTTAAAACAAAAAAGATGGAATGTATGGGAGCCCATGTGTGACTCAGTTTCCATCTGGAGTTCATTCTGACTTATATGTCATTTGAGTACAAGCTTGCTTGCTCTGCTTTTTCCAGTAACCTTGAGGGCTATGGGAGACTTCCAATTTAGCCCATAAGAAAAGAGCACTCTATTTAATAGAAAGTATACTGCTGACGACAAATCTCAGGAACATCAAGAGAGAAGTAAGGCTGCTCCCAAGTCAGTCAGGAGGCTGCTCACTCAAGGACAGGAATGGTCTTGAGGTTAGATACTGACTGACCATCTGTGCCATGCTTTGTTCTGCTTTTGTATATAAGTGAGTTCAGAAATAAACTCTGGGCTGTTTGACTGTTTTAGCATGACCGAACAGACCTCCCTATTCTATCCTGTATTTTCTGTCTCTGTTCCTTTCATCTGACATTTCCTCAGCCTCAGTGACCCCCCACACACACAAATCCAGGAGCCCTAGCTGACTTTGTAGGAGCAAGCTTGTTATGAGTCTGTAAGGACAAATAAGTCCAGGAGTTTTAGGAGACAATATTAAATGAAATGATATGAGTTTATAAAATAAGCCCAGAAATGTTAGACGCAGTATTAGGTGTCACACACAAAATGAAACTAAAAAGCATGAAGCAATGTGTGCAGTGGTGATAAGAGTTTGAGCTGGTGAACAAGTGTGACGTAACGATATGATAAGCAGACATGTGTGCTAATCTAAAAAGAAAAAAAGTACCATAGCCACAAAATAGTATAAAAACTTGAGGCTTACGACCAGGAGGCATTCTCAAAATGACTTGCTAGACATGCTGTCAGAGCGGTCATAGAGAATCCAACGAACCAGCAACTCCACAGCTGAGACCGTCCAAGAGCCAGAGAACTAGCTCTTGCCTGCGGATCAAGACTTACTGATCCAGAGGCCTACGTCGAGAGCCACGGACCATTATCAGGTCGTATATACAAATGCTTCAGTAAGATAGAATAGAAGACCTTGCCTAGGACACATAGGAACCTTTTGCTGAATGTGTGATGTGATTGAAGGTGTGATGTGATTGATTGACTAGGATTGTTATAGGTTTGATGTTTACTTATATTTGATATAAGACTTATATTTGATATAAGAATAATTAGGGATTTAAATGATTGTTATAGTTTGATGTTTGCCCATACCTGCTAACAATTGGAGATTTGACTATTGGCATAATAAACTTGTTCCTAGAACAAACACTGTGGTCATCCTGAGTATTTACTTGCAGACCTCTAAGTAAGGGCAGAATGCCCGCTCAGGAATAAGGCTCGCGACAGAGCTCCTACATTGGGAGAGAAGGGTAAGGCCTGCCAGAGCCACATGCTTGAGTGGACTAGTGTCCCTTCAGGTAACACCATCCTGTCCCAACTTTATTTTATGACTGCCTGGTTACTTCTTAGACTTCCACCACCACCATCACCACCACCACCAACAACAACAGTGACCTCTACCTTGCCAATGCTTTGGGGACTCTCCATGACCCTAACCATGGGCCAAACATATTATCTAGTATCTGGAAAATGCCACTGAGCCTTGCAAAGAAAGCAGACATTACTAGACAACTCTAAATCCCTCACCTGTGCCAGCATTGATGTAAGTACGTGTTTGCCTTTAAAACACTGTACCCCTGAGCCTGGGCACCAAGAGACGTCAGAGGCATGATCCCACTCTTTCTTAATCTGATCATCAATAAAAATGAACTCAAATACTTTAAATGGCTTAATTGGCATGGTTGTCAATAACCACTTCACATGAAATATTTCACTATCAATATTTTCCCTTGGACCTCAGCTCAATACAAGTCTAGCCACATTTGCTTGCAGGTGACTTGGACGGGGCCCTGCTGACTGTTTACGCTTCTCCGCACCTCCTCCCAGGTGCTCCGGCATGTCATGAACTCAATTCACATGACGGTCTAGGTCACTCAGGCCTGCCAAAGCCTCTCACCTCATAAAAATCCTATCCCCCACAGGGTGCTCAACAAAGCCACTAAGCCTCCATACCCATCTCCAGGACCCCATTGAATCAACTTTCTCCTTAATTCCCCTGTGATCACACTCCTGTCAGGCCCAGCAAGCAGGCACAGGGTCACGCACAGCTTCACATGTTCCTCATTCCCTCACTAGCAACTGTCGCTACATTGTTTTCAAGTCCCAAACACTTGTGGGGACTTCGGACAGAGATAACCAAGTATTCCTAATGGCTTTGGTAGTTCAGTCCATTGGGGACTGGCTTCCCTCCTTCTGTCTCAGGTTGCACAGCCTTTGCCTTAAGGAGGGATGGGAAGTTACATTGCTCAGGTTTTCTGTTTCCACGCCTGCAGACTGGTCCCATCTGCTCCCAGGTCTCACAGCCTCACAAGCCAAGCTTCGACCGGCTCTTTCATTGCTTGTTTAAAAGTTACCCCGATTCCAGAAGCCCGGGCATTGAACATTCCCCGATAACACTGGTTTTTTATGCACGACCCTTATTGAAGCCCACATCTGCATGCTGGATGGTAGGTTTCCCCTTTGTTTTCTGCCTAATGTCAGACCCTCAGGGTATCTTCTAACTACTTTTACCACGTTCTCCTCCTCACTCTCTGAATCTTCCCATGACTTCCAAGTTCTTAGACGCCAGGAAAGGCTTTTGAGCATAGATCTAACCTGTGCTAGATTTTTCCCATGGGCTCTCAAGCCCTAAGAAGCAACAAACCAATACCACCTCTGCCTCATCCTCTTATTCCTCTAATGCATGTGCCAAATTAGAGGCTAATGCGGAAGATGCTGTCACATCTCCCTTTCTTGTTACAATTGCTCATTTACATAAACAAGGTCCTGCTTAGCCACCATCTCGGCCTCAGGTAAATTTCTAACTGCACACAACAGAGGCCAGGCAAACTCTGCTGTGGCTGCCAACAGTCTCAAGCCCTGGATGCGATCTCAAAGGCTGCAAACTTTCCTCTTACCTTAAACTGTCTTCGGGGCATCTCCATATTCATGCAGTAGACCCCACACCACACCACACAGACAAAGACTGTTATCCTGAGATCCCTCCCACAGACGCTCCCAATCCTGATGGCTCAGTCTTAGCTGCTTGTCTCACTACCCATAGCAAGAACCATGCAACTGTTCTCATAGCACAGAGACATATTACACACCACGCTGAAAGGACCACTCCAGGAATTTCGTCTATAGATGCTCTCCGCTCTGGCTACTCAACCTCAGTTGCATGCCTTGCTACCCATAGCCACACCATGCACTCACTCCTCCCCAGCTCATCACTGGTCCTTTTGTGTCCCTGTTCAGATGCCAATCATGTTGTGTGACAAAAAATTTCCTGGACAGATGCTACACACATGTCTACTCACCCCAGATAGGGAGCCCACAATAGACCAAAGTACAGGTACCGCCACAGTGTAATTTGGAAAACCAATGAGTTTTATTGGGGTTGCTCACAGGAGTGAGGGGTTACTACAGGAACAGAGAGGACTCAAAGACAGCTACATCACCAAAGCCCACCCCAGCACAGGTGACAGCTCCAAAACCTGGAGCACCCTGCACAGCCTGCTGGCGGCTCAACAGGCCGAAGAGTTTCCTTTCTTAGTAACTCAGTTACTTAGTTACTCAGTTACTTCCAGGCAGCTGGTCTGGTCTCAGAGTCTTTGCAGCTTGGCTTGTTTACCCTGTCAGAGGGGCCTAGTGAATGTGGCCAGTTCCAGAAACTTCTTAAAGCTACATTGAGTTGTTTGCCTTCCTGCTTAAGGAGCTTCCCTGAAGGATGGGATGTTTCAATTTGGAGGAAACGGTAACACAGCAGACCCTATTCCTCTACCACTAATCCTGACCCTAACCTTAATCCTGATCCAAACCTAACCTTAACTCTTAACCTGTTCCTAATCCTAAAGCAAACCCTAACTCCTAACCTTGACAGGCATCCTTACCCTAACCTGGCAGGGACCTTATTCTTAGGGCTTAGCTAGCCAGCTTCATGGCTCATTTCCTAGGGGCTCAGTGAGCCCCTTGGGAGAAGGGGGGCAGGCGTTGATTAAGATTAGACTCTTGGCCAAGTTGTGAGTGGGAACTGATTGGCAGGGACAGGAAGTGTAGGCGAACTTTTCTGTCCCACCAGTCAGTTTCCAAATAACGACAGAGACTTATTAATAATTATAAATGCTTGGCCGATAGCTTAGGCTTGTCTCCAGCCAGCTCTTACAACTTAAATTAACCCATTTCTCTTCATCTATGTGCTGTCTTGTTTACTTCATCTACGAACTTCCCATGTTGTTTTTTCCACATCTGGCTCACTACTCCTTAGACTCCTCCCTTCTTGTCAGCATTCCCTCTGCCCCGAAAGTCCTGCCTAGCGATTGGCCAATGAGCTTTTTCTTAACAATGAGAGCAACCCATTTTCATGGTGTACAAAAGGATTATTCTGCAGCAGAATTGAGATGAGCTGGAGGATTATATTGGGGGGGAAGGGGCTTTGTACAATTCTCCACTCCATCTTACAAAACTATCTAATCAATTTAGATATTAATGTCAGCAGTTTCCGATTTGGGCCAGCAGTGGTCATTGTCCCCTGTATATTGAGGTCAGATTTGTATCTAGAGGTAAGTAACTGTGGTTGTTTTGAGGTCTTCCAAATGGAGCTCTTTAAAATTAACCCCCAGACAGGCTTAGGATGTGTCCTTTGATACTGATAGTTTGGAATCCATAGCAGATGTGGGACCAAGCTGAAAACAGGGGTCAGATCCAGCTGCTATGGCATCTCCCAAGATTCAGATTGACCAAATGTACCTAGAAAGTTCGGAGAGCATCCTCAGACTCGTACCTTCCAGCAGTAAAGCGATCATGAGGCCTGTGGAGAGCTCTTGGAACTCTCAACTGAACGAATCTCAAGACAGACTGTGAGGGCCTCCCATGAGCTCCTAAGACCTAACTGGGCACCTCCAAGTTAGGTCCCATGAGTTACCTGGTCCCAGCATTTGGCTGTGTTGGATGTGTGGTCTGGTCAAATGGAGAGCAGCCTTTTAGCTAGAAATAAGACCCAACAGAGCAAAACAGAAGTGAGAGAAGCAAAGGGCAGAGACAAAAGATAAAAGAAATAGCTCCCTTGGGGAGATGGATGGCCCTTCCAGGCCTACTCAAGGCCAAGTTCCAGAGAGCAGATTAGAAAAACGAAGGTCCAACAGAGGATTCAAAGCTGCCCAAGGACTCCAAATGTCTGCCTGGGTTTCAGCACCAAATGTTAGATTTCTGAGGCAGCCTAGAAGTTGATGCAACTGTGGGGGCTACATGCAGGTCTGTGTTCTCTCCTTCTGGGAGGTGTTTACTTCAGGCAAGACCAATTATCTTGAGAATCAGGCTACAAATGCTCCTCTCCCTGCTAAGCAAGGTTGAGCAAGGTCGTCTGTAAATGCATGGGGATCCTGTTTTCATAACTGAGGTCCTATATCACAGTGTCTGAGGAGTGACAAGTCAAACTTGATTAAATTGGGTTCACCATCACTCAAGCACTAATGTGGGCTGGTAAGATGGCTCAGTGGTTAGGAGCACCGACTGACTGCTCTTCCAGAGGACCCAGGTTCAATTCCCAGCACTGTCTGGTGGCTCGCAACTGTCTGTATCTCCAGTTCTAGGGGATCTGTCATCCTCACACAAACATGCATGCAGGCAAAACACCAATGCACATTAAAATAAATAAATTATTTTTAAAAAGAAGAAAACGAAGCACTGGCATTCTGGTTGAGGTCTTAGATTGTTGCTCCTGCTTGAGCTATGTCTTAAGTTTGTGCCCTATCTCTGCTTGCCCACTAAACCAGCTCCTTGCTGTGGCTCAAGGAATGAGAATGTGCTTCAAGATGCTTCATGGGCCTTGCAGGTGCTTAGTACGTCTCCTGAACCTAAACACCAACTCCAACTCAACTGGCCCCAGGGTTTCAGATCCTGAGAGTCACAGCATCCACATCAAAGGGCAGATTACTCCTCCCCTGCCCCCCCCAGCCCTCCCCCAGCTGCTGCCCAGTGTCCCTTCATACTGACAAACTGACTAGCCCTCTGTCTTTCTGCCCTGTAGGACACTTGGCTTGCTGTATGCCTGTTCCATTTCCTCTCTCTGAAGAACAAGAGCTGCCTCTGGGTGGAAAAGTCAGAGGAATAGGGCCGTGTGTCTCCTTGATCATTAATGGTAGCTATCATCATGATAATCGTTATCCCCAGCCACCCCAAGCGCTGTTCCAGCCCTCTAACTCCATCTAACAGCCTGGAGCGGTTCTCCCATTCCTTAGGCCGAGCATCCTGCTGCAATGAACCCTTCAGCTTCCACTGGAGGCAAGGCTATGCCTCTCAGGCCATCTACAACGAGGAGTGCCTCTACTTTCCTCCTCATTGGCACTGGCACCTGCGATGCCAGGCAGCACTGTGGATGTGGAGATGATCCATCTACCCAAGGGCAACAATCAAGTGAGCCAAATAAGTAAATAAATAAAATAAGAGACACCACAATCGCCCCACCCAGGCAGCCTTTGGAAATCTCAATTTCTCAGTAAGGATGGTTTGTCCCTAGCCACACCCACATGTTTGAGACAAAACTAACCAAGCCCCAATTCCCACCCCAGCAGCATCCACTCCCTACCACAAGGAGCATGGCCTTGGGGACCAAGTCAACCAAGGCCAACAGCAAGGCACTTTCAGCCCCTTCCTCTCCCAGAACCCCAAAGGAAGTCTCCCAGCCCTCTCCACACCGTGAAAGCATCTTGAGATGGTACTGGAGAAAGGCACTGTCCAGGTGCCCCACAGCCAGGCTTTCCTGGGGAAACCAGAACCCAGATGACATGGGGCTCCCGCTCCCTGTCAGCTGAACAAAGCCCATACATCTGACTCTGGCCTGTCCATGTTGCTCTTGGGCTCTGCAGTGCGGCACACACTCAGGTACCAAACAAGCATCCCATTATTAAGTGCCAGCCAATTGGCTGTTTTCATAACAACGTGGCCTCCATGGCAACCAATATGCCTCAGAGAAGCAGAGAAGAAGATTGTATTGCTATCCCACGGGAGATCACCAGCCAGCAGCACCACACATGTGTATGATATCCAGCATCATCCCACACCTCTGAATTCTTTATTGATTTAAAAAAAAAAGAGGAAACTAGGCATTTAGTTTAAAACACCTAAATCATAAAGGCCCAGTTTATGGAGCTGGGGAAATGGATGAATGCTTAAGAGAACTTGCCGCTTTTGTAGAGTCACCCAGATTCCATTCCCAAGCTCATAACTATCCATAACTCCAGTTCCAATAAACCCAACACTCTCTTCTGGCCCCCTACCGGCCCTGACTCCACCCAGGGGAATGAGGTCTCCAATGACAAATTGTCAAGCAGGAGGACTAGGGAGGGGGACGGAAGGCAAAAGTGATAACTGGGGTGGGGTCAGGAGATCTCGCATAAGCTGGTGACATGCCAAGCAAGTTTATTGAAAAGTACAACATTTTTGCAGGGAGAAAATGGACCAAGATCACCTCAGAGCTAAATCTCACAATGTTGGCAAAGAGAACACAGGACACTTTAGACACAGTTGCCATCAGGCCAATAACCACAGGCCTGCAGGGGAGAAAGCTGGGGTTCCAGGAACAGAGGCCCCAACTCCTTTAGAGGCCCAGGCTCCAACCTCAGACTGGACCTTGCCAAGCCTGTTTCTGGACACGGACACAGAATGAACGTTCCCTTTGGCCTTTCAGTGGGGCTCCCAACACTCCCCAACAACCACATCTGCCTTGGCAGCACATTTGGGATTTTTCATGACCTTGACTACGTTTCAAATGTATTTTTAAAAAATTAGTGTTTTTACAAACTAAAATGACTGATAAAGGTATAAATCAAAATAAGTTCTTACGCCGTGGCTGGAATAACTACCATGTTCTGCCAACACAAATATGGCTAGGCTGTTCTGACCCACCTCTAACACTGATGTCACTGTGATTTTTTTTTTATCCTTAAAAACATCGTACCCCCTGAACTTCAGTACAACAGTATTCCTGAGGCGCTATGCCACTCTTGGTCACCAGATAAAATAAAGGACTCTTTCTTATCTTCTTAATTAGCTTAATAAGTGTGATGATATGTAGCTTTCTCACAAGCATCATTTCACGGGCAGATCAATCAGCCCTATGTACACTCTTCATCTAAAATAGAAAAAAAAAAAATCCCAGTGATGAGGGTAACTCTCAAGCCTGGATCCAGCTGTGCTGACGGACACCCATCAGGATGGGTGTGAGGAGCTATCCTCAGCCGACTGCATGGATGCTGGCCTCGGAGGACAAGGTTTAGGAGCAGGTTATTTATTAAGATCTGAGAAGCCTCCCCGGAAGTAGCTTTCAAGGGCTGGAGGAGAGACAAGGAAGAGTGCAGGGAAGAAACCCTTGGGAAAGCAAGGTCAACTTCAGTGCTATTTATTAGTCACCTAGCAAGATGCCTAAGTCCTCCCCTGCCCTTGCTCCTGGCCCTGTCCACCCTCGCCTTGTGGCTCAGCTTCTAAGCTCTACTGTGACAAGGGCTAGGGCAGCTGGCAGCATGGAGGCCTGACTGCAAACTCAAGACACCTAAGAGTGGACCAGGGTCTTAGCCAGGCTTTCTATTGTTTTATTTTATTATTATTATCATTATTATTATTAAAAATTTCCACCTCCTCCCACTGCCCTCCCCTCCCCCTCCCTCTCATACTTCCCCCTCCTTTTCCAGTCCAGAGAGCAGTCAGGGTTCCCTGCCCTGTGGGAAGTCCAAGGTCCTCCCCCCTCCATCCAGGTCTAGGAAGGTGAGCATCCAAACAGACTAGGCTCCCACAAAGCCAGTCCATGCAGTAGAATCAAAACCCAGTGTCATTGTCCTTGGCTTCTCAGTCAGCCCTCATTGTCAGCCACGTTCAGAGAGTCTGGTTTGATCACATGCTCCATCAGTCCCAGTCCAGCTGGCCTTGGTGACAGGCTTTCTATCCTTATGATGAGACACCTGAGACACCGTGACCAAAAGAAACCCAGGGAGAAAAAGGTCTATTTGGCTTACACTTACACTTCGTAGTCCATCACTATAGGAAGTCAGGACAGGAACTCAAACAGGGCAGGAGCCTGGAGGCGGGAGTTGATGCAGAGGCCATGGAGGGGGCGCTGCTTACCAGCTTGTTCCCCATGGCTTGCTCAGCCTGCTTTCTTATAGAAAGCCCAGGGACAACACAACTCACAATGGACTGGACCCTCCCCACCAATCACTAATTAAGGAAATGCCCTGCAGCCAGATGTCTGGAAGCATTTCCTCAGTAGAGGCTCTCTCCTTTCAGAAGACTCTAGCTTGTGTCAAGTTGACAGAAAACTAGCCAGCACACCCACTCAGCAGGTGACTAGTCTCCTCAGTCCTCTGCAGCTCGGCAGTCTTTGGCTTTACAGTCTTTCCCAGAGGTCACTGTGCATGCGTGGCTAACTGGGTGCCCATCTCAGCCCAGCCTGGCTTCAGGGCTTTAGTGAGGCTATACTGCAGCCATCTGGGTATGCAAGAAGACCCAAATGAAGACGCCCTCTGTGCTAGTGTGGCACACAGTACAGGCACACCGGGAGCACACGGACACTGCATACACACAGAAGTGCACAATAGGAATTCACATGCAAATGCACATTTAAACCACGAACTACACTCTAGAAAGTTCAGAGGAAAGGGAAGCTGGAAATCATATGTTCTAAGGAACAAGTACGTGATTAGGTGTGAAGTGTGGTGTGTGTGTGTGTTAAATTGGGCAGATAAATTAGCGGCTCTTCCTTTAGCTTCTGGGAAATGTTTCAAAACAGGGCAGAACAGAGAGTTTTTATTTGCAAACACTATTAACCATTTCCTGTTCCAACCTCAGAAGTACCTTTGAATCAGCCTGTCACCTGGGCCGCTGGGCCCTGTGCCCCAGTGAGACCTCACAGTGAGCCACAGTGGGTTTGGGGTCTGGATTCTGGTCTGCCCCTCTACCTCCTGTTTCCCTTACACTTCTTTCAAAATGATCCTTCTGTTTTCTGAACTTTCTGTCCCTGTCCCCACCTAGATGGAAACTTCCCATTACCTCCAGAGTGTGGGGATCCCCTCTCCCTAACTTTCCACCTGGGCTGCTTTTGTGTGATAATCTTGAGGTCAGCACCCTGGAAACTCACGCTTCTCTGCCCTGTCTAGAAGGAGGAGAGCCCCCAACGGGGCGGGGAGACTTCTGAGGGCTTGGCATAGGGAAGCTCCGCTGGTGACCACCGAGCCCAGCCTTGGGTTGATTCTTCCTACCTGGCTTACTGAGTATTTTCCCAGGGAGTCCAGTAAGAAACACATGTGGATGCAGGCTCTCCAATTCATGCTACCATGACAACCTCACATCCAACGATCACACTCACGGAATGATAATTGTTGGCCATACCCAGATCCACACAAGAATGTCCCTGGCAACTCTGCCCATGATCCCCACCAACTGGGATCTTCCTACACCTGCCTCAGTTGGAAACAGATTGTGCCACCAACCCTTGCTCAGCACCCAAAGGGATCAAAGAGCTGACCTACAACTAGAGGGAATGAAGCTCCATTAAAAACTGAAGCAACAGACACCCGCTGTACCACACTGCACAGGTAACAGCTTGTGTGTTGGGGATTATGTGTGTATTGGGAAGTTGTATGTGTGTTGGAAATGAAGTGTATATTGGGACATAGCATGTATATCAGAGGAGAAAGTGAGTCGAGGATTGTGTGTGTATTGTGAGATAGTATATGTATTTGAGACTGTGTGGATTATATCATGTGTGTTGGGGATTGCATGTATATTAAGATATAGAATTATGCTGGGGATCGCTTTCCTGGGGAAGAGAGTGTGACAGGGATTTTATATGTATTGGAAGATAGCATGATCCAGGCAGTGGTGGCTCATGCCTTAATCCCAGCACTCAGGAGGTAAAAGGCAGGTAGATCTCTATGAGTTCGAGCCAGCCTAGTCTACAGAGCTAGTGCCAGAACAGCCAGGACTACACAAAGAATTGGAATTGAGTGTGTATTGCAGGATAGTATTGTGTTAGAGATTGTATGTCATGGAATATAATGTGTGTGTGTTTGGAATTGGAAGTATTGGAGGACAACATATGTCTTAGGGATTACACGTGTATTTGCAGACCACTGAGAACAGGGAGATCATATGTACTTTATAGAATATGTGTGCTTGGGGCTAGCATGTGTATTTTAGACTGTGGCTCTGGGGAATAATATGTATGCTGAAGATTGTGAGGTTTGTGGAGATGGTATGATAAGGCGTAAATAGTGTGAGTTGGGGTATGACCCAGCGATCCCTCTCTAGGCCTGGTCATAGGACCCTGCTGTTCCACACCCAACACTTCCCTTTCCCTCCTGCCCTTTCTCTCCTACTGCCTGCCTCCTTGCAAAAGATTCAGACCCCAGACCCTCTCAGGGAAACATTCCTCGCGAAGTGGGTTGCAGTGGCTATTGCCACAGGAAAACCAAGTAGGGCTACCCCAGGCCCAGCCTTGTCCCTTACCCCACTGCTAGGGAGGAGAAAGGAAAGAAGAGAGAAATAAGGCCTAGAGATGAAGGGGAGGAAGAAAGTACAGCAGAATGGGAAGGGAGAGAGACAGACAGGGGTTTCCTCCTTTTCTATAATAAGATGTCCCTTTACTTGCTGGCCTAGGATGTTGAGTCAACCTCCGGGAATGGGATGAGAGCTTGCTGCTCAGACTTCTTCCTGCTCCTCTCTGTTCCTCACGAGCTACTCTACACTGTCGAGCCCGAAGTCTCAGAGTCCAGGAGGAGTCTAGCTAGAACATCAGAAGACTGCATGGGCTCTGTCCAGAATCCACCCTAGGCCTGTGGTCTTCTCCTAATTGCCCAGCCCGCTTGGGGGACTTGCTAGCCTGAGCATGCCTGGGAGCCACAAGGGTGTCAGGAGGCTCTCTAACAGCCAGACCTGGGGAGGGGATCCCCCCTCACTTCTGCCCACAAGCCCCGTACTGAGACTGGGGGCGGCCAGTCTGTGCCTCACACTCTTTTTCCATCTCGGCGGCGCTGTACAAAGTAACATTTCCTTTCCTTCCCCACTAAGCCCGGTGCCTCTGAACTAGGGTGACTGCCACAGCTGCCAGATGGTTTCCAGCCGGGCTGGTTATTTTAGGGTTGTGAGACCCGCACATCTAATATCAGCAGTTTCGTTTTTCCTATTTCGCATTCACAGAGACAAAACACTTGAGAGCTTAACTGTTAAGTAATCAGAGATTCCCCACAAATGGCCAACCAACCTGGGCTATATGCACAGGTCTGCCTACCCCTTCCCTCCCCAGGGAGACAGGGACAGGACAGGAGGGGTGGGCGGGGTTGGGGGGTCCTCCATCACCTAGGGACTTAGAAAGGTTGACTGGGAAGGACCTAAAAACTGACCACCAGGTCAGGTGAAGAGGAAGACTGAGGGCAGCAAGACCAGCAAAGCTAGGACCACTGTGGAAGCAGAGAAGACAGTGACCCGAACAGGTGGGCCCAGTGTCTTGAAGGGAAAAAAAAAAAAAAAACAAGAGAGAAAGGCAGACCAGACCCAGGGGTTTTCTGGGTCTGAGAATGTAGCTGGGGAGAGAGGCATCTTCTCGGGGTACTAGGAGAGGCTCGCTATAACCCTTTCAGGCCTCCTCTGACCCATCAGGCAGAGCAGGTGGGGGTGGCTTGGCTCTTGCTTCCCAAAAGTAAAGGTCCAAGCCATAGCTCAAAGGACTCAAGGACACACATGCCAGACAAGGTAGGAGAAGGTCCAGCTCACCCTCCCTGCAGCCAGGGAGGACACCCATCCTCCAAAGGGACAAAAGTAAGGCCCTCGTCTCAGGCTCCCTAAACCTCAGGAGCTAACGATCAGGATATAGGGAATGGAAAGGGCCAAAACTGCCCGCAGTATGGGGCCTAAAGTGGAGAAGACCCATAGTGGGGCAGGAGGCAAAGGTGTCCGGTCTTCTCTTCCCTCTCTCTGTTCCCCAACTCCCTCACCTCTCACTAGCCGCCCCCACCTGCTCCTCCCAGGCATCTTTCCTTCCCCCTCCTCCCTCCCAT